GGTTCTAGTTGTCATAAGGTCATGGTACAACTCCAAGTCGTCCTATTACCGAAGATCACGGCTATTCGAATAGATTAACTTCCCTGCAGGGGTGCACCACATAACCCAACACGCTCGATCCCATTTGGCCGGACACACTTTTCTGGGTTATGCCTGGCCTCGAAAGATCAACACGTCGCAGCCCTACCTAGGCACAACAGAGAGGTCAACACGCCGGTCTAAATCCTATGGCGCAGGGGTCTGGGCCCATCGCCCATTGCACACCTGCACGTTGCGTGCGCGGCCGGAAGCAGAACTAGCCCCCTTAATACAAGAGCAGGCTTACGGTCCAATCCGGCGCGCGCCACTCAGTCGCTGACGTCACAAAGGCTTCGGCTGATACCACGACGTCGAGTGCTCATAACTGTCCCCGCGTATATGGTTAGTGCGTATAGGCCAGTAGCCAGACTCAGATCAAATACCAAGATCTCGTTAGGCGTGTTAAGTATCCGTGAACACCGACCAGGACCAGGCCCACCTCTCTCCTAGGTGGTCTCAACTTGCCCTATCGCTTCGCCTCAAAGTAACAGTCGGGGGCCGTCGGGAACTCAGGCCCATCACTATCTGGATGGAGCCACCTGCCCCTTCAGCCCCCATCTCCAAATAGTATCATAAGTAATGTAACAGTGTAAGTATATATCATATGCCCGTGATCACCTCTCGAAGTGATCACGGCCCAGTAGTATAGCATGGCAGACGGACAAGAGTGTAGGGCCACTGATGGAACATTAGCATCCTATACTAATAAGCATTTAGGATTGCAGGTAAAGGTAACAACAGTAGTAGCAAGGACAGGCTATGCATCATGATAGGATAACGAAAAGCAGTAACATGCTACACTACTCTAATGCAAGCAGTAGAGAGAATAATAGGCGATATCTGGTGATCAAAGGGGGGGCTTGCCTGGTTGCTCTGGCAAGAGAGAGGGGTCGTCAACTCCGTAGTCGTACTGGGTAGCAGCGGCGTCGGTCTCAGTGTCTAGCGAGAGAAAAGGGGGAGAAACAATAATTATTTAAGCAATCAGATGCACAGCGATGCACGACATGACAAGTATCGGTGTTAGGGGTGCCCTAACGCGGTATGAGGTGATACCGGTGAAGGGGGAAAACATCCGGGAAAGTATCCCCGGTGTTTCGCGTTTTCGGGCAGAGGAGCCGGAGGGGGAAAGTTGCGAGTTTGATGTGTTAGGGGTGCGTGGCGGATGAACGGGCTACGTATTAGGGTTTGTCTCGTCGTTTAGAGAAACTTTCATGTAGAAAGTATTTTCATCTGAGCTACGGTTTATTTTATATTAATTTTAAAAGATTTAAATCATTTTTAGGATTAATTTAAATATTTTAATTCAACATTATCCAGAATAGTAAAAGATGACGTCAGCATGACATCATGCTGACGTCAGCAACCAACTAAGCAGTTGACTGGGTCAACTATGTGTGGGTCCCGCATGTCATTGATTGATTAGGCTAATCAGGGGTTAACTAATCTAATTACTGTTTAATTAAACTAACTAGATAATTAGGTTAATTAAACAAGATTAATTAACTTAATTAATTCACTTATTAATTAATTAGTTATTAAATTTATTAATATTTTTATTTATTTATTATCATATATTTTTTTAATTCTTTTTTTTGTAAAAATGTTCTGGGCGTGGGGCCCATCTGTCATAGGCCCCAGGGCCTTAGTGGGCGCCGGATGCTAGCGGGCGAAGGGTGCGGCCTGAGCGGGCACACGCCCAGGCGCGGGCGGTCGAACCCGACGGGCGCGGGCGGGGCGCTGCCCGCCAGGACGCGGGATGAGGCCGTGG